TGTGATTCTAAAAATGAAATGTTTGTAATAAAAATCTCCTTTAAGGGACAAGTTAGAGTAGAAAATACAAGAAAATCAAAAGTGAATTTTTAGCGATAATCTACATCTTTTAGCTTTGACTTGTGTAAACAGACGAAGCATACATAAGAAAATGTTTAGTTAAAAATAAGCACATAAATAAACATCAAGCAGGAACTATGTCCCACTTCTCTGTCTCATCCCAATTCAATTTGACGGTGGGCTAAAAAAATTTAATCGGTCGTAAAGGAAGGACAACATTTATGAGCCAAAAAACTTTATTGTAAATATTGTTCCTAAAAACTATATGAAATACGATATATTGATAGTTTTACATATCCTCACTGGGCAAGGTGAATTGTAAGGGTTAAAGCAGAAAATATTTTATGTAGCACTGAAAGACATAAGTGCATTGCATAAGTGGTTTCTAAATCCCTTAAGAAAATAATGTTTAAAGAATTTATAGATTGATCTGTTCGGAAATATAGAAATAGTATAAACTTTTCATAAATATAGTTTCAATCCCTTACTTATGCGACTTTTGACAGATTTATTTAATTATTGCAGCGTTTTAGAGTTTATTAGAACCCGTCTGCAATATGCTATCTGCTATTTACGTGATGGAACATAAAATCATAGTCTTAGACTGCAAAAGTGACTTGTTTTTCCAAGTTTCAATCGTGAAAAAAACATCAATTAATTCTTTTTTATGCCATTCTGGAATTAGCTATGGCTCAACATCTTAATTGGGGTAAGATATTTGGCGTAAAATTTGATTCTACGCCATAAATTTTGAACAGCTTATAGAAACTCCTTTCGTATAATATCCTTTTTGAATAGGAGACCATAATTCCATGATTAACTGTTACCTCATGCTGGTTCCAGACAATTTTTGTGGCATCCACGCTTTAAAGATAGAAATTATCCTAAGATTTTATGTAGAAAATAATTTATCGTTGGAATATTTGCGGCAGCAAGATGGCTAAAAAAATTACTATTATTATCACATACAGAGCTTATTTCATGCTTTATTGTTTGGTCAATGTATTGTCTACATACAGCATAAGTATATAGAGAAAAGAGACCTAATCTTGCTCGTTCCCATACAAAATCCTTATCATTGCACTAAAAGGAGACTCAATAAATTTTTCAATGAGGGTGTATTGGTTAATTTTTGAATACAATTATCCGTTGTTTTTTCTCAATCATGCAAATTTTCATTGCCTATAGAAAGTATTAACTTTTATAGAATAGTATGCTGCGGTCCAGGGTGTCTTAGGCTTGTCATTTAAATTGTTTATTGATATAAATAATCATTATGCTATGGCTTTTTAATACCAGTAAATTAGCACTATTATTCGATGACTAGTCACTTTAGGTCGCTTTAGATGATGTAGAAATAAAGGCTGATGCTCCCACAGCAAAACGAATTAAAGGCCTTAAGAGGTATTTGGATTTTGCTCAGTCTTTCCTGCAAAAAATCCTTTTCATTTGGGCCGTACAGCAATTTCCAATTAGACTCGCTATCTCATCGGCACCTCAAACAATATTCTAAACCGTATCATGTGTACCAGTTGGAAAGAAATAACCACTTTGAAATACAACTAAGGATACCATTGGGTCATAGGACATATATGACCTTTAAAGAATATGCGAGAAAAAGTTAGGTTTAGAGGAATTTATTGTTTCATAATTGTTGAGCTTAAAACCATTTTAAGTCAAAGTGTTCGTTGAAGAGATTTGAAGGTCGATTCCCACCTTGAAAGCAAGCCAAGCTTCTTGCAAATCACATTTCCAATGAGATTGATATCGATAAGATAGAGGAGCCTTTTGTTAAGAAGCTCTGTTCACTCTCGATCGCTTAACGTGATGAAGGAATGATAGCGAATTTTGCCATAATAATGTGAGTAAGCCTTGTGTTTCCAGTAAATTCCAATTATTCTCATCCGGGATGGACTGCGGCTTCAACCTCGCTCCTTAGCGGAAATCGGAACCGCATAGTGCAGAGTGTAATATCTACATTTTGCCCGTAAGCCATACTGCAATGAGGACAGTCGACCAGTCGGTTGATTGCAATTTTAAAATATAACCTTGTCTTATCAACACCAGGCACAATAAGGACATGTATTTAGAAAGGCCTGGTTTCTTTTGGAAGTCATTTCTATCCTTTGACTCTCTAGAACCTGTAGCTGTATGGCTAACTGGTAGCAGTGCCACTTTACGCATATGATTATGTCTTAAATCTTGATGAGGATGCTAATAAAATCCGGGCGAGTTCAGAACTGCATGTCAGTCAGGATAACAATACCTCTTTAGGAGGTATGTCTAAATTGTGAGGCATATTTACTTCATGGAGCGAAGCAAACTGTCAAATACTTAAGCCCAATTATGCTCTTTTGCAACGTCTGTTGTTAGTTTCAGGATATATTCACCACGCAAATCAATTATTTTATTTCAGACAATGGATAAATCGTAGTACCAATATATGTAGCAGGGTAATCATGGGCCATGTAGATAGTAGCCTTTCTTGTACCATCCAGCATGTGAAATTGAAGTAAAGATGGCATCCGCGTATGCCTCTAAAATAAAAGTCCTACCAAACGAATATATATTTATAAAAGATTTTAAGAAAGGCCGTAGCTTCCAGGTTAGCATATTTTTATGGCGAATTGAGATTTGAATAATACAGTTAGAATTAAAACATATTTACTTGGGTATCCGCATCAGCAGGACAACAAAGCTAAGTCTTATGTATAAAAAAATGCGAAATTTAAACTTAAATTTTTCCAGACTGACTTAAGCATCAGTTTTTAACAAGCCATTTTTTAGATGAACACTTCATGCGTACCATTTATTATTTCTCGTCCTATATATATTATCTAAGAAGATCCCGTCACTCTTCTCAACATAGTATTTTCCATCAAGCAAAACAAAAACAGCACAATATAACAATATAAAGTTACTTCAAAACCGAAGCCTAAGAGACCCTCTTATCAAATCGTCGGATAGAGGATAAGACCAAGCTCAAGAGATTCTCAAGCGGCCACTTTGCTCACCTTGATAGCCTCCTCGGCCAGTTTGCTAGCTTGCCGAATCCGCTCCGGTGAGAGGCTGCTGGGAACAGTAGTTATGAAGGATTTGTGCCTCATAGAACGCAGATGATAGGACTGACCAGTTTGTCCAGCTTGCTTCAAATGTCGTCCCGGATTCGACCCTGTCGGTACCAGTAGTCGCTCTGGTGCATATTCGCCATGTTCAGCAGCCCCTTCAGCAGCAGGCTGAGTTTTTATACGTACCATTTCGGCAGTTACTGTGCTCTCTGATGCTGTCGTAGATGCTTGTAATTGACCTAAAAGTCTGTCTGAAAGCTGCGCCGTGACCTCGGTTGTTTTTGCCAAATTTGAACCCTCGAATGACCCATAATTGTGCGAACCCGGTGTTGAGGGGCAACTGAGATCACGAGAGAGCTGCCGGATTCTTCTCGGGCGAGTGGCTCCATCTGCGGAAGGAGCCTCCGCATCGGCCACTTCAGCTGATTGTTTTTTCCGCTCTTTTTCAATGGCGAGATTAAATAGGTGGAATTTTGCTCATAAATGCATGCATTTTTCTTTATAGAATGAGGCATGTAATATTATGATGTTGGCAAGATTTAGGGTTAAGCATGCTTACCATAAACAGATTATTTTCGGTCAGATGTGCCGTTTATACAGCTCAACGTAAAAACCTCTGCGTTCCAAGAACACATATATTGAGATGAAATCGAAAGTGGGAATACAGTTTTTGCATGAGAACTTGAGTCATCCTAGGTCGCGTTAAATAATAGGTCTTTCATTTGAGTTTTCCACATGTAATGTAATGTAAGGCCTCACGATGTTAATGAATCTCACGTAACCTCACAACACAATCCAGCTTCTAATCCGGTAACCCAAGAGTAGTTGACACCGTGATCAAGCCCAGATGATGAGGCCTTTTTGGAGATAAGGTTAAGTGAAATTCAATGGAATTTTGAGGCCTTCTATTCACTTTACTTTGGGAAGCTCTACTACAAAAGTCCTTGGATATTTTAAATGTTCCTACAGGACAGCCTGAGTGCTAGCAAAATAGTAATGAATATAGCAGATGTAGATGATAAAACTAAGACATTCATTAGTCCGTGGCCTATTTTTTAGGATATAGCTATGCAGCTATGCTAAGTCTAAGGCATGTAATTAGATAATCTTCAAATTTTGGAAGACGGCTTCAGTAAAGTTAAATACTTACCACAAACGAAGGAAATATTAAGGACTCGATTTTGACAGGATCTAATGGTTAAAAAAATTTTATATTTCTTATATTCACAATGAAATATTTTGTGCAGTTATAGGAATCATATATCGCTTATTTCTTTCCCCTAAAAATAAGACTATTAATGAAAATCATATATAAATTAAAATTTAGGCAAATAAATTTTAATATAGTTCGGGCAAAATAAAGCTAAGACGGTAAAATCATTAAGGAAATGTCACCGCGCTTCGAAAAATTCCTAAACATGGTGTATATATGCACATATATTTATTTGCTGCATGCATTGATTCTGAATTTGAAACAATGGGTATCCAGGAACTTATAAAATATGCTGCAAATAATGACGCAAACAGATGAGCGTGAGCAGATGACCATTCGCAACGAAACACGATCGTTTTTAATTAATCCATACGTAAGAGCCCTTTATAAACTGAGTAACAACCTTTTGTTAACCATAAAAATA